GTCTGGTAAAAGAACTCTTGAGAGACGTATCTTAAGTGGCGTGATCTAGGAAGCGTAGCTAGCTTGTCCACCAGAAGAGTTCCGTCTTTCTAAAGGCCGTGTAGTACGCCTCAACCAATTCAATGTTCCCGTCAAACGTGGGCAGAGTTTCGGAGGCACTTCTTGGCCCAGTCCAGGTTAAAAGTGAATGGGGATTCAAAGAAGGAAGGGCGAGACACTCGAGTAGACCACACAAACAAGCTGATCTTTGTCAGTACCACCCATTTTTTAAAAAAAGTTCACAACAACCCATTTCGCCCAGTTGTCCTGAAAAGTCTTCTTTTCGGAAGTGAAGGTAAACAGATCACAGAACTCAGACGATACTCATTTGCATACCAAGTTGGTTTTGACGGGAGGCTCACCTGAAACCCAGTTGAATATCTCGTTCATGATGTTTTTAAAAGACTGAATGTGCTGCACCAGGCCGCCTCATGTTTCAGTTGGTGTGTTATTCGAGATATAGCGATGTATTTATAGATGCAATACACTGCTCACAAGGTTGTTGGAAAATCCCACGAACACTGAACAATGTGGCGACAGTTCCGGACCAGGAGCGCAGTGACGGTTGAGAGAACACATGCAGTCATAAACCTCCGAGGCTAACTGCCCCGTCGAGCTTTAGTTCAGCTCGATAATCCGACTGCGTAGCAGCAGACGGCCACGAAAATTGTTGTTCAAAACGGTCGGTCCAGCAGTCGAGGCGTCCTTTTTTACTGAAGATCTTTCACGAATTTACCCCCCGGCGGCTTCGGGGCCAGTAATAAGTATAGACCGAAATAACCTCCGAACATTCCCGGTTTTCTGGCCTTTCTTACGAAACTTCCAAGTCAGCGAGCACGCTATGACTAGGCGTCTGTCAATTCGACGGGTTGAATTGTTTGGGGTGAGTGGAGACATTTGTCCGTAATTCAAGCAGCGCGTGAATTAATATAAGACGACGATGCAGATGGAAGAGTGCAGACGACAGATCTCGTAAATTCGCCTGAATTCGGGATTCGCCAGCCTAAGCGATTTGTCCTCACATCAAGCGGCCAACCTTTTCTAACCCCTCTCTCGGGAGCCAAAGCCACTGCTCACATATCACTATGCCTCGTAATACTCTTCACAGTATAAGGACCGCTGTTCTCCGTCGGGCTATATCCCACTGACCTGATATGGTTTGATTTTAAGGAACTGGGTTCCATCTGGTGTAACCCGCAGCATTGTTGTAGCACTGAAGCCCGACGATCAAGATAGGGGACAGTTTTGGGTGAGATATGACCTATGCATCTTCAAGAACGGAACCCAGCTCGATTTTCGTGGATGCGTTCTGCTGTGCCGTTAACTTCGAAGGATGAGTTCAGACGAGACCCGAGATGTCACAAGACTGATGTTGCTATGGTTTCCGCACGGTGTTCATGTGCATTTTTTGGAGATAGGGATGATTGCTTATGTGCTCCACTCTGCAGGCACTTTTCCCTAATACGTAGATCACTAATAGGTTTTGTCAGGTCGACAATCAGAGATCCTCAACTTTCTCTGAAGATAACTGGGTACAGAGAATTCGGTACTTTCGGACTGGTGATCCCTGCGGATTCGAAATGTTCAAACACGGACACCTACGACAAACACTGATATCAAGTTGAGACGACCGTGCATCTAGTGACTGTGTCAAGCAGCTTCAATGGTAAAATTCTCTTCAACGCAAGCCGGTGGTGGATAACATGGCATAGTAGACAAGCCCTCCCCAAACCAGATTCCGTAGCGTCCAGACTGTCCGTAGCTTCCTGCTGAACACCAGTCGGACCTAAGTAAATCTCGAGATCTGGGGATGACTAGGCCGAAGTGTCTCTGTGACTTCTACGACGCTAAACAGGAAAACTGCATGACCGTACTCGGACATTGTGGTTGATCGTACCATATGTACGGAGCAACTAGAGATTAATGATCCTGTCTCATGTCTCCGGGTGGGTGGCGTCTGCATTAACCCCCCTCCGCGACAGCCCAAGCACAGTTACGCAGTGTTTAAACACAGACTTTCCACTCTGGGCACAGCCCTATTAGAAAACCAAGCGAATTCCAACCCACACTTTCGTGCGTGGGCTTACCCCTCTAATCAGTAAAAGACTAGTTGAATGGGAGTGTCAGAAAAACGCGCATAAACAAAATGACGAGAAATGAAATTTCTTAAAATGATGGCCTACTTCCTGTGTTACACCAGTCCTATAAATACTCTGCATGAACATTCAGGAACTGTTACGGACCTTAGGCTTGACACTGATTATGTATTGCCATCCGGATTCCTAGCATTCAAAAATTGTAAACCGATTTTAGCGCTGAATTGGTTGATTCTTTAAAAAATAGGGAATATAGTCTGTCTTTCTACAACACAAGAGAAAGCAGCAGAACCAGACGCACTAGCCTGTGCCCTAAGGGAGACTGACCCACTTAGATAACAAAACAATCGAGCTGAAATGAAATATTCCTACTTAGACACTCGCCTCAATGTGGACCTCGTTAAAATGCACAGCACGAGAACACAAAACAGTTTGGTATGAAGATGAATTGGTGTTTGTAGAGGGTACAAATATCAGATATCACATTGCCAGAGTCAGGGGACAGAGCGCCATACTTCGGGTTCAAAAAGCCATACGGACGTGCTGAATAATTTCGAAAATTGCTGTGTAACGATTAGGAATCCACTAACCATTGGAACCTACCAGATCCACACACGACAAATACAATCAGGCCAAGAATCCAAGCGTTCATATTAGACTGGGAATCTTGAGACTTCTAAGTTTCTATGATGACATAGCGCAGAAGAACTCACGAGAGATTTCGGCACATTCCCTCGGTTCCTAACGTTTCCATGAGCTCGTTCATTCTGCACTTTCATTCGCTGATTAGCCGACATTTTTCCACGCAACAACTTTTTCGACCAACCCGCGGTCTGTTGCGAAGATCCAATTTGAGGTCAGTTCAAAGTCAAAATCCCATATATTTTAGCAGTTTATCACGAATCCATTAAAACGGTGGCTTCTTGTTTATCCGTGTTGGTTGCCGAAGAGGTCGGGTGAATATTAGCGGTAAATATTTGGTTATGGGGTACCCAGCGGTCGGTTCATTTGGAGTATGGTATCGGCAGTAGGAGCATGAGGCTACCAGTATGTATGAAAAGGAAAAAATCAAAACCTTCTTCTTATCCTCGTACACATCCTTCAGCTTCTTGATTTTGTCTTATTATGTCTTTGTTGCTTTTAGTTTCAACGTACGTAGGTGTCAAGTATGAAGTAGACAGCAGAAGGTACTTCGTCCTGTTTCACAGACGAGCCACGTTTCGTCCTCTACCTTTCCACTATACAAGCGTACTAAGGGCTACCAAATGCACCAAAGGTTCGTAGACTCGGTTTGGTGAGGCGTGTTTTTTATCAGTTTTTAGTTGCTTGTCTCTAGGAGATATGGAAGGGAAGCGGGCCATAATATAGTTAGTGTCACTCAAGTTCAAAAGATGGGCTGAAAAAGATGTTCAATTATGGGGTGACGTAATTGTTCAGACAGGTGTGGGAAGAGCATGGGGAACCCCGCTGTAGAGTAGAAAAACTGTGAGGAAGAACACTCTTCTTTTTGGTCGACAGGTTTACCTGTCGTAGGAGGGCGCGTGACTGTGCCTCCAAAGGTTTATGTTCAGGCAAATGATAAATTCCATCTTAAGTCCAGGATTAAAAGATTTTGTAAGCCCTGACGACACATCGTCAAATCTCGTGGTACTTCACTGTGAACTGATACTGCCACGGGATTCGTTCAGCGTGGATGGATCACCTAGAGCACCTCCATCTTTGATGGCTTCATGCTGCACATTTTCAGCCGTCTCACGTCTGGCTACAGCCAAGTGTCCCATCTGAGTCTAAGATATTTTTATCGACCAGACAAAATTAGAGCGCATCGTTGTAAAGATGCGCTTATCTGAGTCTAAGCGGGTTGGTCGACCTCCTGGATCAGTGACGATAAATCACAAAAAGGATACGATCACGGCATTGCTGTGTAACTGGCAGGGCAGCTAGGCGTGGGATTTATCCAGCCACATTTGCGGTCGGCGTGGCTTTCACGAGCACATTTGTTTCTCATGCATTGTCCTCCTTTCCCCATTCCATTCTTGCCTTATTCAGTGTTTATTCTTTCCGTTAATCAAAGGCGAACAGGGGTCATTTTCTTTTGTATTCTGACTACCGGTGAATAACATGACTATGCCAGTTTGTTATAACGCCACTTTGTTTCCTTCTCGCTAGTTTTCCTCCTTCAACTCTTATCTGACGTCTGCTTCTTCGGTAACTGATGTCAATATTTTGTTGCCCATCCGTCATTGTTTACGTGTTTGTCCCAGTTTCACTTAGTTTTGAGTGTCCACTCCGGCAGGAAAACAGGCTACCCGGGAATTGAACCCGGATCTCCCCGAACTGTGGGCGAACGTACTTCCCATTATGACAACTTAACACCAAGGGGTGTATTACCTACTTGCAGCACCTGCACGTGGCCTACAGAGCGATTTGTGTCAAACGGACCTAGCCGCACAATCTGACCTATCATGTGACAAGGGCTGCCCCATCGCGCCATCAACCAAATACAGTCCCTACTTCCTGAATATACTAGCTGTTTTCTGCTCCATTATCTCTGTTCGTCTGACCAGTACTGGCAGGATTCTTGTACCTATACGCTTATACATCGTTTGGTGCTTACTTACCGCTGTTTCCAGAAATCCCTGCTGCTTCAGTGACTATTTTCCGCTCCTGTTTATTTCATTATTATTGGTTGTACGTCTGCCCAATTCATGATAATTACTAACCCGTTTGTCTATTGGACCAGTTCCCGAAACATCTGAATACACCATGTGCTTTCCTCGTCTGTCTGTTACTATTAACTGCTGGGTACGGACTGCGAATGATCAGCTAACCGCAATCGTCTTGTAGGGTCCCGGCGGCTGTCACTCCATGATTTTAGGCGTTCGCATTGTCTAAACACACTCCCTCGTCTGACATCAAATTGCCATCGATCCTGGTTCAGCTGAAACCGAAATCTTGATGACCATATCATTGAGATACGCGTAATGTTTATTAGTGTCCGGTCTTCAGCAAGACGGGCCGATGTGGTTCACGTCATAAGCAAACATGAAGCAAGGGCCTTGCATCCCCAAAACACTATTACATATGTGACAAGCAACACGAACGGCAGTGGATTGTTTGCCACCCGAAAGGATGTTAAAAAGCAGGCTTTCCAGAAACGGTTCATTCTCTTTAGCCGGTCATGAATATTGAGAACAACAATATAATAAAAACGTCAACTGAATAAATCGCTTGCACTGATTCACCGGGATTGGGGACCGGCATATGTTCATCCAAGGTCCCCTGAAGATTTGCCTCGTGGGACCGTTTCTCACTAGAGATATGTTTATGGCAGGTAACCAACCGCTTTTATCCTGTACTTCCCGCTTCGTTCTCCAAACCGATGACTCTTTAAAAGTCGCTCACCCAAATAGAACTGTGAATCCATTTGTGATTTTGTCCACTGGTCCTGATGACTTCGGACAGTCGAAAATTTCTTAAGTTCTATCGTGAAACTAGTTGATACAGATCCCAATTTTTCATAGTTTGAATGGTAGTTAAAAAGCGATGTTCTGATATCTGTATTCCCGAAATGAAAGACATGCCAACTCTTCTCCTATTACACACCACCCTTGTTTTCCCATTTAGTTTCCACTCGTTTGTGTGTTTTCTGGATATTCATCTCACTGTAAAACGGATCCATTTTTGGCCACATGGGCCATCTCACCAGTTTTATTATGAGGAATACGCAGTGTCGGAAACAGTATTTTGATTTATATGCTGTACGGTAAAACTGTGTGGACTCACTGATGTCACCGATGCAGCGGAGTCGGTTGTGAGAATTCCTTTCGGAAGTGTATTGCAGCACAGGACGAGGCGCGAAATATAAAGAAAATTATTGACTCTGTGTGGAGAAGACAGTGAAATTGCACCGAGATGTTTAAACCCAAAGAAAGGGTTGAATGGATTAGGACGGGCCGTTACCGGTGCGGCTGGATCCATTCAAGTGATTTTTTAGGCGTGCAGCTAGGATTTTCAAAAATGCGAGAGGGTATAGTGCGCAGTATGGAGAGAATAGTTTTGGCCATGCTATCAGACTGAGTTTGGCGGTGCCATGTCCTCGTTGCATCGACATACTCCGGCTTCTGGATAGCCCGCAGCGGATGTTAAGATTGAAGTGTTTGGGTCGGGGATGTGGGATCACGGCTAATTTCTTTGTAGTCGGAGGTTCATGTCATCGCCATGCTGCCTATGTTGATGATGAAGGAGGTCCATGTGAACACACGAGTTACATGCAAGGTGGATTGCAACCTTACAGGGTATTTGAAGTGGCTACTGCTGTGATTAGGAGCGAATGGGATGAAATCATTAATTGGTCTACTTCGGAAGACTACATCTATCCATTATATATTATCCATCCAAGTATCTATTACGAGGCTGGTCATTCTATGCGTATATACTGTTGGAGGTGAATGAATCAACTTTCCGTCGTATGGCGTCAGATTTCGTCATCTAAAGTTAGCTGGCCCGTCTCTGAGGCCATTCCAAAGAATGGGTTTTTGTAAAAATCAACTTTATAAAGTACACTGCCAACTGTACCGGTTGCCAAGATGGACTAGGCGCAGGGTTTGCCAGACAGATGTTTTCGGTTTCTGTCGAGCAATTTATGACACTCAATTTGATGGGCTGTCGATAGCCCCACTCGGAAATGCCGGTAGAAGTGCAATACAGGAACTACTCGATTTTTACTGTAGGACTGATTCAGGGGTGGTTGCTTCCACGAGATTGATTCGGGAAATGCAAGGGATATTCACTTAAACACAGCCCTAGCTTGTGAGTGGCTTACCGTCAGGCATGGTCATACGTTCACAGTCGGAATAAAGCACGGCTGCGAGATTTTTGGGCACTGGAGAGTGGGCAAACGGAGGACAATGTCATAAACAGCGACCAATACCCGATGAAAATTTTGTAAAAGGTTCATTTCTCAACCTGTAAGAAGCATGGTGATTGGGGCATGACTGGGTGGTCACAAGCGGAATGCGGCAAGCAACTACACAAGTGGAGGAAAGTACAACCAACGAGGCACACTTAATACAGGAAAAGTCGCCGCAATTGCAGGAACCGAGAAAAACTAGAGCAGTGGACATGGAGCCCGACTAGTTAAAAAATGAGGTCGGCTCACATGAACTAAAAGTGAGAACCATTGCTGGCCATGAGTAACTTTGTGCGGTTGAGTAAAAGGCCAGAGACAAGATGAGCGAAAATGGAGATGGAGATGGAATGATTCAAACTAGAGGCAAATGGAATGTTTTGTCTCGGAAATATGGTTTAACCCGAAACTAAGTGGACTCACTTGTGCCATTGCTGTAAGAAAGTCAGTGCAGGGGATAGGTACGATGGGGAGATAGTGCTAGTGCATAAGTTCGAACATACACCATGAGTGTGATCTTGTGGAAGAGGCAAACCAAAATTGCGGCTACAAACCAGGTTGGTAAATTCCGAACGAGAGTTTCATCGGGTTAAAATTGGCTCGTCCCAGAGGCAGTTTGGGTAAGTTGAAAAAATGTGCCCGTGGTTGCAATTACGGACTGGAATGGGTGAGAGGTCGCGGTCGCAATTGTGAAGAAAATAGCTGCGGGAATGCCACCACACTGGGTATGGCAGTGCCATGCCATCATTGCACTGACTTCGGTTTACGGACGGCCCCGTAACGGCCCTCAAGGATGCCCCAATCGCATAGGAGGTACGCACTTTCGTGGCAGGTGAATCTGTGTTAGGCGACGAGGTTGGCCGGATTGGGTCAGAATGAATCAACTTT